AGCGGAAATTTTACCAGGCTGTATAATTTCAAGCGGTAAAAAGTCACCAAGTATGGACTAGACTTGTAGGATACCTGTTGATATTTTTTGTATAATCAAAGCTTATTCTGCGTAGCGAATTCGATGGCGCCATTACAGTGTTCTGATTGAATTCATTGTCATATTATTATGATCAATCCTGGATAGTCAGTTGAGACGTGTAGACATTGAAGTTGTTGAGAACGAAATCGGTCAACTTGATTTGATGGCGAAAGGATGTTTGGAAAATGAATTGTTGGTAGGTGTCTGTGAGGAAAATTGATTTTTTTCATGAGGTTGATCCGAATGTTTTCTCGCTTTGATTTTGAAAAACTCGTACCATTCTCTATGTGTGAATGTATTTAAATATGAGAAAAATATTTCCAGATAGAAACTCATCTATCTATTAACAACTTCGCTCTTTCATGACAAGGGACCCAAAAATAAAAATTCAAATAGGGGACCCAATCTATCTTTGATTTTAGAAAATGAATCGTCAAAAATATGGAACGCTGCAGGAAAGTTTGGAAACATGTCTCTTACAATCTTCGCGATCTGCTCTTTCTAACAGTGCCAAGTTTGCGCTGATCGAGCTTTTTATGAAAAGTTATGATTTGAGAAAAATGCCAAAATCAGTTTAATTCTATACTGCTGGCACTAAAAGCATAACTTTTGGAAGACATTCAGACAACATAATTTTTGCAAATTTAGAAAGAGCAAACAAAAAAATCTATCAACTGATCCGATTTCCGAAAAATTTTTTTGCATTTTTTCCACATTTTCCTCAAAAATCATAACTTTTCATGAAAAGACTCGATCAGCACAATTTCGAAACTGTTAAAATAAGCAGCTTACGTAGACTGTAAAAGATATGTTTTCAGAATTTTCTGGAGCGTTTCTGATTTTTGGCGACTTATTCTTCGAAATCCTGAGTTGAAGTCTCCTATATTTTACCTCTAAAGCTTGTCATCAAAAAAGTTGTAGAAAGTAGATGGATTTTTTCCAATTTTCCAACTGAAGGAATTTTTTGTATATAAATACGTCCACATAGCGAGCAGTTACGAATTTTTCAAAATCAAAGCTACAAAACCTTTGCATCAACCTAATTTATCTGGTGCCAACCGAATTATCTTCGACTGAAGATTTTCAAAAAGGCCATGTAACAGGTGTTGCGTTCAGAGTTGTCCACGCCAGCGCTGTGCCAGCGCTATGTCGGAACATCGATCGATCGGCACGTTCCGTGAAATCCGGCACGGCTCTAGCACGGTGTTGGAAAGCCTCTCTTTGGCTCAGCGCCAACAACATAGGTGACTTAAAGGCAGTGTCCAAACAAATCTGGGCACATGGGTTTTCTGCCTGAAAATTGATG